CCCCTTAGCTCATCTGCCATGGTGGCTGGCCCCTAGTCCCTGAGGACACACCTGCCTGCCTGAAAGCACCTAAGGCTCTCAGCACAACCAGCCCTGGCCCTTGACACCTCTCCACAGGCCCGGCCTGGGCACAAGTGTTCAAAGGCTGGCCCCAGGATTCTCCCCAGAAGAGTCTAGGTGGGGCCCTCTGCCTCCAGGCTCCAGAGGGAACCATGGGGGACCCCACCTCACCCCCAACAGCACCTGGCAGGGGATGCTAGACCAGGCCCCAAGGTCAGGTCTCAGGTCACTTCACCCCGGGTCCGAGCAGAGCATTGAGGTACAAAGCACACTGCTACACCCGGGTCGCCCCTGCTGGGCCTCACCACCACCCCAGCAACCAGAGCCTATGCCCTCTACCTCAGCCTCAGCGGGAAGATCCAGAAGCTGTGGAGGCAGGCCTGGGGCTCTAGGGAGGGCAGGAAGGGGTCAGGTGAGGGCTTGGAGTAGCCATCAGGGGCCCAGTGCCCAATGTTAGTGGGAGGCAGGATCCGGTGGGGCCCTGCATGGGGGAGGGGAGACCGGGACTTCTGCAGGTCACAGGGGTGAGGGTACCCAGTGGCCCATGGGCAGGGACAGGGACATAGTGGCAGCCTTCAGTGAGCTGTAGGCCGAGAACTCTGCATATGTTGCTGGCCCAGGGAGGCCTTCAGTCAGGGAGGGTGGTGGCCTCCTTCAGGTGGAGGGGTGCCACAGAGGGGAGCCCTACCCGCGGAGCAGGCAGGGGGCAGGTCAGAGGGCAGAGGGGCGATCTTGGGGCACCTGGGCACCGGCTGGGCAGCAAGGGGAGGCAGAGGCTTGTCTGACCCCTCTACGGGTGATCCTCCAGCTGCTCCTGGGAGAGGAGAGCTCCTGGGTCCTCTGACCAGCCCACCCTGTGACTTCAGATGGGGAGACTGAGGCTCAGTGGAGGTGGTCACTCGGGGTCACAGATAGGAGGAAGGGGCAGGAGCCAGGAAGACCCAGCAGGGAGGGGCGGAGACCTCAGAATTCAGGGGAGCCCTCACCCCACTGTCCTTGCAGCTCGGTGCCCGCATGCCACTCCTGCCCACCTGCATGAGCACCTGCCCCAGGTGAGGCCCTGTCCCCTTGGGGAGCAGGCCCAGGAATGGGGGCTAGACAGACGCTCAGAGCCCCTCCCATTGGAGCTAGAAGATCACAACCATCCTTCTCCCAGGACAGAGAGGTGCCCCCAGCCAGGAGGGGCCGGGGCTGGGAGTCTGGGGGTCCGTGGGGAGGTGCCAGGCTGGCTGGGGTCCACCCTGGTGGCTGGGTCCAGGGACAGCTTGAGTCTCTCAAGCCTCTCAGAGTGCCCACAGGGTGACAACACCACACAGGACTGGTCTCTGGAGGGTGTGCTTGGGGAGGAAGCAGCTCAGGGCCCCCGGCACGGAGCACAGAGTCTCTGGGCAGACACCCAGGTGAGGACTCGTGAGGGGTGCCCCGGAGCAGGGCCAGGAGGGGCAGGGTGCGGGCGAAGGAGGGGAGGCACATGTAGGGACAGCTTCCTAGGCAGGACTGCCAGCGACCAGAAAGGGGCTCCAGAGAGAGCCCCTGAGACCAGTGGACATCCCGGCCCGAATGCCAGAGGAACCCGGCGGGGGTGGGGGGGGCATGGCTCCAGCCTGGCCCCAATGACAGAGGCAGGGCCAAGATCCCATCTTTCCAGACCGGGGGCCCCTGCAAGGCCAGCCCCCCAGTGAATGAGCACCACCCATGGAGAGGAACGCACACTGACCCAGACTTCGTAGCTGAACCCCAAAATGCAGGGGTCAAGCAGGAAACCACCCAGTCAATGCCTCAGGCTCAGGAAAGTCAGAGGAGAGAGCTCTGCAGTTGGGGTGTGAACGGGAGGGACTGGCGGCTCCTCGGGGTTGGAGGAAGGGGAAGAGATGAGCACGGCTGCCCAGGAACAGCCCCCCACCCCGTGTCCCCCCGCCCCCCGCAGAGCCCACAGGTAAGAGCAGGGCTTTAGTCCTTGTCCCCCGTGATGATCCAGGTGGAGGATTGTGTGTCCTCAACCACAAAAATCCCCAATTATTGGCTCAGGCCAAAGGAGACAGAGCAGCTGGTTCCGGAGCTGCCCAGGTGACTCTATGTGTGGCCAGAATGAGCTCCCTGGGGTCCCGGTGGCACGGGGTCCCGAGCTGCGGGGTGAGGGGCCGGTGGCGCAGCCCAGCAAGGACGCCTTCATGGATCGGCTCTGGAAAGTCAACTCAACTCACCTGTTCGGCAGGTTACAGAACCCGGAGATACAAGATTCGCAGTAGGTTCTCGATAAAAACTGCAGGCCCTCCCCGGCCCCCAGAGCAAGTAGAAGACTAAGAGATCCAAGACTCTGCCCCCAGCGCAGTGGGACGGAGCCTCCCAGCCACCTCCACCCACCCTGTGCTGCCATCCAGGCAGCAGATAGCTCCTGAGCCCGCTCTACCCTCCTCTGCCCCCGACGGGGCCTGGCCCGCCCTCTGTGGGCCTGGGGGGGGGGGCAGGGATGGGAGAGAGCAGGCAGGTCCCCCGGGACTCCCCACCTAGGCCTCACAGTGGCTCCTCTGGAGGACAGGACAGGGTCTCCACTGGGAGGCCCCAGGGAGAGTCAGAAGTGGGGCTGGGAGGGCATCGCAGGCTCCCCGGGGTCACACATCGCTGAAGGGGGGATGGGGCTCCAGACACCCTGCCCTGGAAGCTGCAGCCCAGGCTTCGTGGAACGTGAGTGAAGAGACCCTAGGAGGAGACTCACCCCCACAGCACGGACCAGAGCTGGGCCCACCCAGACGAGGTCAGGGGGCCCAGCCATCCCTGGAGAGCGCTGAGCTCCCCGACTGAGCTCCTCATACCCCTCTGCAGGCCAGGCCGGGGCAGTGCTCACCACTGGCTGAGGGAGACCAGCTGGGAGGCCCAGCGGGCCGGCTGACCTGGAGAGCTGCCTGCACCTGCCACCCTCCCCCTCCCAGATTCGGGCTTGGATGGTGCTGTCTCCTCCTGACTCAGTGGACCCTGAGATCCTGCCAGTGAGGGCTTTCTCTTTCCCCTTAGAGTGTTCACTGCTCCCCAGCGGGGTTGGAGATGTGGGTGCCTATGGTTCTCCGTCACGCTCTGCATGTCCAGGCCCCACCATCTCCAGGGGTTAGTGACCCAGATTCCGTCCTGGCAAATCCTGTTCTAATAGGGGAATAGAGTAGGCATCTCAGATGAGCCTAGGATGCGGCAGAACCCCCCAGAACACCTCCTTCCCTCCGATTATACAGATCCCAATCAAAGGCTCCCTTGCTTCCCAATGTCTCTCTGCATCCCGGTATGTTTGTGAAATGAAGTGACCTTCGTACGTGACCTTGTGTTTCATTGATCTTTGTCTCCTCTTTGGGGAGTGCAAGTCCATGTCTCTTCCACTGTCCTTGTCCTCACAGGCAATCACAGAAAGGGCCACAGGAGCATGCTGGGGGCGGCAAGACAATGGCTAAGTGAGAACTCAAGCTTGTTTGCCAGGAATTTGCTCCAGAAAATGTCCTGGGTGGGTTGTTAGGTTTGAGGGGGGCAGCTGACCCCGGGGGGGAGGTAGGGTGGACGGGGGCTTTTAGAGGGAGAAGCCCAGGTGCTGGGGTGTCTTTGCTGTGACTTCCCCATTGCCAGAGGCAAGTACTCAGCCAACCTTGCCGGGCAGGATCTTACTCCCCCTGGGCTGTGCCACAGGCCATCAGGGTCAAAGTCAGAGCTGTGGCCTGTGCCTCGGACCCCTGACAGCCTCAGGGATGGGGCAATTTCTCCAGGGACACAGTCCGTAAAAATGTGTGAGTAGACATAAGTGAAGTGTCACGTACTTGTAGAAATATGTGCAGATTATGGACGGGCAGCTTGCAAACATGTGCACAGCATGAACAGCCATGTGTCAGTACCCCCAGAAGCCAGCTTCATCCGCCCTCCCCGTCCTCCCCACGGGGAAGCACCCCGTTGCTTCTTACCCCAGAATTAGCCTCACCTGTGTACCCCCTGTGTGTGGCTTCTCTCAGGAGGCGCTGGTGGGCTTCTCCCCAGCAGCCCTGCAGCTACAGCAGGTTGCTTCTGTTTGCAGGATCGGGTTCCCTCTGACGAGTGTGGCCGACTTCTTGTCCATCCTACTGGGGTTGTCTCCAGGGTGGTCCAGCCTGGGTCTCCTCCGAGGGTGCTGGCTGGGTGGACCTGTGCTCACCTCCATGTCCTGTTCTAGGAGTGGATGCATAGGCTGCAGAAACCTAACCCTAGTCTAAATGCTGCTTGGGTCCCACCTCAGAAAACGTTCTTGCAAGTCCCCCAGAAGATCTGTTTGCAGATAATGTGACTAGCTGCCTCCCAGAGCAAAGATCAAAAATATTTACAAAATATAAAAATATCCAGGACCGGGACGCCTGAGCGGCTCAGCGGTTGAGCATCTGCCTTCGGCTCAGGACGTGATCCCGGAGTCCCAGGATCGAGTCCCACATCAGGCTCCCTACATGGAGCCTGCTTCTCCCTCTGCCTCTCTCTCTCTGTGTCTCTCATGAATAAAGAAAGAAAATCTTTAAAAAAAAAATCTAGGACCAAAAGGTAAGCTTCATATCATCTGATATCCCAGAACCCCTAAGGATAAGAACAGTCACTAGTTAAAACAGAACAATAAAAAAAAAAAAAAACAGAACAATAAATGATGCAGATGACAGAGGAGAAAAGGACATAATGGCATAAGTGCAAATGGTCTAAACTTCTCTATAAAATGGCAGAAATTGTTGGGTCTGGCAAAAAAAAAAAATCGGGTGTCTGTTCCCTATAAGAAATGCACTTTAAATATGAAGACAAAATAGCTTAAAAGCAAGCAGATGGAAAAAGTGCCATGTCAAATCACAGTGATTTGGCTCTAATAACATCAAATAAAATAGATTTCAGACAAAGGATTTTTTAAAAGATTTTATTGATTTATTTGCTTATTTATTTTAGAGAGTGAGAGCGAGCAGGAGGGTCGGGGGAGGAGTGGAAGGGGAAGGTATTCCAAGCAGTCTCCCAGCTGAGCACGGAGCCCAGCACCATGCGGGGCTCAATCTCATGACGCTGAGCCCATGACCTGAGCCAAAAGCAAGAGTCGGACACTTAACCCACTGCACCACCCGGGAGCCCCCAGAGAAAGGATTAGTACCAGAGAAAAAAAGAGTAAAGGGATCAATTCAGCAAGAGAACCAAACAAACCTGCTTATGCATCTGTAAGAGCTTCAAAATACACGAAGGAAAACCAAGCCACAAAGAGAACCAAACCAATCCCTGCTCCCCTCATTTCTATGCACCTTGTCACCCTCCACCCCCTCCCGAGCAGGTCTGAAGCTGCATCCGATGGTGCCTTCTGCAACCAGGCAGCAGATCTCAACCAGGTGCCTCAGGGCTTCGGTGAAGAAGCAACCCCCACCGCACCCCACCTCCCCAGAGCAGAGACTGTATTTCCTTGCTGGGCTATTTTCAATGCCGGCCCTGTTTATCGGCTGGGATGCAATGAGGCCCGGCAGGGACAGGCCCAAAGAGACAGCGGCGACATGTTGCTAGGCTCTGTAGACCCTCTGGAAAGGGGGAGCCTCGCTCCTGCAGGCTCACAGGGCTCACAGGGAAGGGGTGTCGAAGATTCTCAGGCTCATCCTTCCAAACATCCTCATCTGTGTCTGAAGGTCGCTCTGTTCCTGTCAGCGCCCCGTCTTTGATGTAAAAGACGTGACATCTTCAGCTCTGCCACCCTTAAGATCAGATCCTAGTGCGACTTCCAGCACCCATTCAAAGTGCACTGGTAAGTGGGTTCCCATGTTGGCAACTAAGGCTCGTCCCACCGGGAGCCCTCGGAATCAGCATGTGGAATGTTCCAAGGAAACTAGGCTGCTTGCCAACTGACCCTCCTTGCCTACTTGTTGAGGATTTGGGGGTGAAAGTCTGCCCCCCACCTCTGGGTTTGTCTCAGGACATCACACCCGATCTCTCCAGAACGGTCCCCCCACCAACCCTCGTGCTGGCAGACCAACAACCAAGGTCAGGACCAAGCACACCCGAGCAGGGACGAACCATGTCTACTCTGAGGGGACCAGCTTATCGGTGCGCCCGCAGGGACCAGGGGAAGCCAGCTGGGCAGGGACGGAACGTCAGAGGGTAAGGGGCATTCATTGCTGCAGGAGCATCCTCATGTGACAGGTGACTGGTGTCCAGGCAAGGCCACCCGAGACGGGTCCTAATGCATTTCTGGAAGCTTGGCTGCATCAGTGGCCTGCTGTGAACGAGGCGGAGAGGCAGGAACTGGCCTGACATCATACAGGAGGCTCAGGGAAGGGAAAGTGTTAGAATGAAGTTTTTTTCGTGACCCTGTTCCCCAAAGGGTCCCAAAGGATCCTCTCAAAGGCCACAAGAAATCCCCCATGAAGGGAGTCAGCATCTGCCCCTATAGATATTTTCAAGCTTGTGTTTTATTTCTTTGGACACAATCTGTCCACACTCCACAGTTGCTGTCTGATACACTATGTGTCTGGTACAGTCAGTGTCTGTGGCAGATATTGTCGCTGTCTGATACAGTCGGTGTTGGGTACAGTCACTGTCTGCTACAGTTGGTGTCTGATACAGTCAATATCTGATACAGTCAGTGTCTAATACAGTCAACGTCTGATATACCATATGTCTGCTACAGTTGGTGTCTGATACAGTCAATATCTGATACAGTCAGTGTCTAATACAGTCAACGTCTGATATACCATATGTCTGGTACAGTTGGTGTCTGATATGCCATGTGTCTGATACACCGTGTGCCTGATACAGTCGGTATCTGATATAGTCACTGTCTGATATAGTTGCTGTCTGATACCCTGTGTGTCTGATACAGTCAGTGTCTGAGACAGTCGCTGTCTGATACAGTGTCTGATACTCTGTGTCTGATACAGTCAGTGTCTAATACAGCCAGTGTCTGGTACAATCCATGTCTGATACAGTCAGTGTTTGATACAGTCGGTGTCTGGTACACTTGGTGTCTGATATGCCATGTGTCTGATACACCGTGTGCCTGATACAGTCAGTGTCTGGTACAGTCAGTGTCTAGTACAGTCTATGTCTGATACAGTGTCTGATATAGTCGGTGCCTGGTACAGTGTCTGGTACAGTCGCTGATACAGTCGCTGTCTGATACCCTGTTTATCTGATACAGTCAGCATCTAATACAGTTGTTGTCTGATACAGTCAGTGTCTGATATAGTGTCTAATACAGTCACTGTCTGATACAGTCAGTGTCTAATACAGCCAGTGTCTGGTACAGTCTGTGTTTGATACAGTCAGCATCTGGTATAGTTGCCATGTGTCTGCTACACCATGTGCCTGATACAGTCGGTGTCTGGTACAGTCAGTGTCTGGTACAGTCGCTGTCTGATACCTTGTGCATCTGTTACAGTCAGTGTCTAATACAGTGTCTGATACAGTGTCTGATACACCGTGTGCCTGATACAGTCAGTGTCTGGTACAGTCAGTGTCTGATATGCCATGTGTCTGCTACACCACGTGACGAGAGCCGGTCTTTGCAGGCCTGTCTGCTGTCTGCAGGTCCTACTGGGTCTCACTCATGGTTCCTCTGCCCTTGTGTACTTGCTTATTTTTATACAGAGCTCATTGTCCTGTCCTTCAGAAACTACTTGTAGGAGTGATTTGACACCCAGAATGAAGGCACTTTCCTCGGGAGACGATCAGTGTTTGCTGCTGCCCAGCCTCAGTCCAGGACAGTCTGAAATAAAACGTACGGCTTGAGTTTTTTCTTTTGTCTTTTTTTGGGGGGTGGGGGTGGAACTGCTTGCTTATATAACGTGATTGGGATGGAAAACCCACATTCAGTGACCCTCCCCACCCAGCCCCATGCCTAGGGCCCTCTCCCCTGGGTCCCAAGGGGTGGGAGATGTGGCTGGTCCCTCAGCTGTCCCTGGGACTCTGCTGCACGCAGGCCTCGGCCGGGCATGCTGGGGCTTCCTGCTCCCTGCCAGCATGGTCCTGCGCTGCTGGGTCAGAAATGACCCCAGGAACATGGTCCTGGGCCTGAGTCAGAGAAGAGAGTGTTCCTCAGGTGTGAGAGAGGGAGAGGAAGGGCTGAGACCCCCCAGGATGGCAGCTCAGGAAGGAAGCAGCCTGTCTGTTCTCTCTAGCAGGTGGTGACCCATGGGATGGAGGGTCACATGGACCCGTGGGAAGTCAGAGAAGGAGGGAATGAACAAGCCACTTCTTTCTTCAAACATGAGGAATGTGAGACCCTCTAAGGACTCCAGGCCAAAAAGTGTGTCCACCCCAACAAGGGACCAAGCTGTGGCCTGTGGACAAGGCCCACTGGGGCCAGGGCCGGTGGTGATCGGGGCCGTAGGCCGAATCAGTCCCAAAAAACAGAGACCACACAGACAGCATTGTGCAATAAAATCAGGCCTTGAAAAAAAATCTGGGGGCACCTGGGTGGCTCAGTGGTTGAGTGTCTGCCTTTGGCTCAGATCATGATCCTGGGGTCCTGGGATCGAGTCCCATATCAGGCTCCCCATGGGGAACCTGCTGCTCCCTCTGCCTGTGTCTCTGCCTCTCTCTGTGTCTCTCATAATAAATAAATAAAATCTTTTTTAAAAAGTCTAAACACAAAAAGACTCTTCCAACTGGAAATATTTTTTTAAAGATTTTATTTATTTGAGAGAGACAGAGAGAACAGAGAGACAGGGAGAGGGAGAAGCAGGCTCTCCACTGAGCAGAGAGCCTGATACAGGGCTGGATCCCAGGACCCTGAGATCATGACCTGAGGCTGAAGGCAGATCTTAACCAACCAAGCCACTCAAGTGCCCCCGACCTGGATATTTAAGTTTCTTAAATTCTCTTCAACATCTCCACGGACAAAAGAAATACAGATGCAAATTGCCTCTATTACACTATGTTAAAGTGCTACATACCCGAGCCTAGGGAATCCGCTAAAACAGCGTTGAAGCAAGGTCTGGGTCGCAGCCTCTCTTAAATACTGATGTACAGGAACTACTCTTTCATTTTCCAGAAAAGAGAATAACGTGAAGGAGGACAAAGGGAAGGAAAAGGAGAAACGACTTGACAGCTTCTGACTCAGATTAGGCAGAGGCCTGTTCATTGAAGCATTTTCATGCAGCTTGGGGTGGCAGCAAGCAAGTGTCCCCCCCCACCTCCATGGGGAGGCATGGGTGACCAAGGTGACTCCAGCAAAACTGTCCCTCTGCTCACAGCTCTTTTGATACCAACTGTGGGAACTTCCACACCAGGCAAGGGTCCAACTGTTCAGTCACCAATAGGCTATGTTCGCCTTTAATTCTGATGCTACATCAGACAGTGGTTGGGGCTGCAGGAATCTTGAGGTTCTTCTGGGGTTCATGCCAGCTGTTGGCTGGGTCTTCAGTAGGGTTTCTGGCTAGAACATGAGCATGTGACCTCCCACAAGGCCTGGCCTGCCTTATTGCTTGGTGGCTGGGGTCAGGGTATTCCTTCTGACAGACGAGTCCAGACCTGAGAAGGATTGGCTTCCTCCTGGATGTCAGGCCGCCATTTATGAAGTGGCCACCTGGTGACCAGGGGCACCCAGATCCTTCTCCATAGGTGGGTGTCAGAGCCACACAACTTCCACAGCCCAAGGCTCCCTGAAGCTTGAGCTCACCTCCACCTCCATTAAGGGCAGTCAGGGAGCTGCCGCCAGATCCTGTGAGGACAAAGACAAAGACAAACATGGTGGGTCCTCTGCTATCAAGACACTTGCCAGTGAGCAGACAAGACAGCTCTTGGCTGAAGGGAGACTGTGATGTGCATTTCAGGGAAGAAAGTAAGCAACAGACATGGAGGTCTAGGAGCCAGACCTTGGAGGAGGGGAATTTCAACAGATGGGAACGGCCCTCCAGGGAGGTGGAATAGAACAGCAAAGACTGGAGACAGTCTGTTTAAACCATATGAATGCATCATTTTTATGGGGGGAAAATGATCAAATATCAACACATTCAGAGAAGTCCACCTACAGTCCACACGGGCAAAGAAGAGCACAGTGCAGCTAAACCAGTGGTTCTCAAAATACGTTCCATGGAATTCTAGGGCCCTGAGCCCCTTCGGGAGACCTGTGAGGTCAAAACTCTTTTCATTATACTAAACCACTGTTTTTACTTTTCACTGGGCAGACATTTATATCCATGGCCCAAAAGCCATGGTGGATAAAGCTGCTGGAACCTCAGCCTGCGCCAAGGTAGTGACAGCAAATTCTACTAGTACCTTTCACCATCATGCACTCACAAAAATAACCCAGTTTCACTTTAAAATGTACTGATAAAAGAGTAAAAACAGTTACTTTTATTAAATCTCAACCGTGAGTACCCAGATGTTTAATATTCCACAGGAAGGAATGCACAGTTCATAGTTAGCCCTTCTACCACACAGAGAAAGACAGTAGCTGCCCTGCGGAAAATCACCTGTGCAACTGTTTGAGTTACAAGCTGAACTAGCCACTTGCTCTATGGCATACCACTTTTACTTGAAAGAATGACCAATGGACAGACTATTCAGTTGTTGACAGCAGTTTCTTGAGAATGAATGGTGTGAGCTGGCGGCTTCAGAGCAAACAACAGACAGTATTTGTTACCAACAATAAAAATTTGAGCCCTCCAGCAAAAATCAGGATTTTGGAAAACTTGTGTCTTCTACTATGACCCTGGGATTCCCAACAGCTACGGACTCTCCTGATAGGTTCGATGGCAGTTTTAACAATGGTGCTTTTTGGATAAGGTGTGATAAAACGTGCCAACACCTGGATCTGCATCACTGTGGACTGGTATTTGTGATGTTACAAAATCACATATTGGGTAGAAGAGCCACTCAAATGCAAGACAGACCGGCAGATTTTACTACAATGGAACATGCAGATTTCATAAAATTCATCAGGCTGGGTTCAGAATCCATGTCCTAATCGTTAATTAACTACCACCTGTCCAGTTTAGTTCTGTTATCAAAAAGTAATAACAACAAATACCTAAAAGAGGCTTTAAAATATACTCCCTTGTGGCACTTGGGGGCTTAGTTGATTAGGCATCTGCCTTTGGCTCAAGTCATGATCCCAAGGTCCTGGGACTGAGCCCCATATCGGGCTCCCTGCTCAGTGTGGAGCCTCCTTCTCCCTCCATCCCTCTCCACTGCTTATGATTTCTCTTTCTCAAATAAATAAATAAAATCTTTTTAAAAATGATAAAATAAAATACCCTCCCTTTCTCCAACACACTAACTAGTCTATAAGAGGCTGGATCTTCCTTACATGCTTCAGCCAACGCATGTCCAACAAGTTGAACACAGCAGCAGATACGAGGATGTACCTGTCTCCTAGTAAGCCAAAGATACTTGTAAAAATATAAAACAATGATACCCATATTATTAAGTTTGTTCTTATTATTTCAAGAAACACTTAATTTTTTCAATTAAAAATCATTATTTGCCATAATGTTAATGTTATACATTTATTATTTTAAAATAAATTAATATTTCTAAATTAGTGTTATTTTATATAAATACCAATTTATTTCCAAATCTATGTATTCACATATAAATAGCATATGTTATTATTTACTTTGTTTATAGTTATTTGATAAATACTTATTTTCTATCTTTATGGATTACTACTATTTTTTTAAAAGATTTTATCTATTTATTCATGAGAGACACAGAGAGAGAGGGAGAAGCAGGCTCCCTGCAGGGAGCCCGATGCAGGACTTGATCCCAGGACCCCAAGATCATGACTGGAGTCAAAGGCAGATGCTCAACCACTGAGCCACCCAGGTGCCCCGGATTACTACTTATTTTAACAAATACTGTAAATGAATTGTTACTAGATATTACTTGGATTTAATTTCTAATGTAGTAACTCTTAGATGCAATCCCATAAGCCACAGTTCTTTAGTTGAGTAATTGTTCAGAGTAAAGGGATCCTGAGACCAAAACGTTTGAGAACTGCTGGCCAAGAGCACAAGGTGACGTAATGTCCTCTGAAAGCAATGGGACCATGCTCCGGCTGTGCCCCTCGACCTCGTTCCCTCCGCGTCCCCCAAGTCCCTGCCCTGGCCACCCGGCCCAGGGCTGGACCCTGCCTTATCGCACACCCTGGAGGAGTGCTCTGGAGCCTTGCAGCCTCGGTTACCTTTACCAGAGCTGGGGTCAACAGCAGCGGCAGCAGCTTCCCTTGTCCTCAGTCTCCTCCAAGAGCACAGAGCAGTGTGGCTGGACCTGGGTGCTACGGGGTGGGGAGAGAGCTCTTGTGCACCCGTGACCACCTGGCCTGTGCACCCATGAGTGTGCACAAATGAAGTCTCAACCAGTGTTTTCCAGGATAGCTGGGACACTAGCAGATTCCCCAAGTCCCCACCCACTCTTCCCTCCAAGAACCCCTAGACAGCCTACCAGGGAGCCCTGGGAATTCTGGGAACGGGTCAGGACAGGAGGGTCCTGACTCTAAGGATCCTGCCCAGTGAAGCCTGGGAGCAAGAGGCAGGGAACCCAGTCTCCCTTAAGACCCCGGGTGGGTGATGGTCCTACACCACCTGCAGTGTTTTGTTGGGGACTCTGGCCAAGGCCTTGCCATGACTCTTGCTCTCTGACCTGTTTCCCTCTCTGGGGGAAACTGAGACTCCAACCTAGGGTTCCTGATACCTGGCAGCGACTGACCCTCCCTGCTGGGGGCCCCTCCTCTCCCCGACCTGGGCCCCTGGCAGTACCCCACCTCCGCGGCTCCCCCTCCCCCCTCTACCCACCTCCTACCCCTTAATCTCCCTCATACCTTAAATAATCTGGGAATCTGTCCCTGAAGGACACCAGCCAGTCATCCACAGTCTCCCTACCCTTGTTCCCTCTGAGCTGGAAGATCCCCATGATGGGTTCCTGTAGGTTGGCCAAGCCGACGTCCTGCAGGGAGCAGCCAGTGGGTGAGCCCAGGCCCTGTGTTCCCAGCCTCCTCTCTCAGGAGGACCCATTCGCCTCACCCACCTGCAGGCCCACACCCCAGGTCTACCTTAGGCCCCTCGCCCGGCCTGTACTGCTGGTCAGAGCATGAGACATCCCTGCCCCCACCTCACAGCCTTGCCGTGAGAGCAGGTGGCCCAGCGCTGGCGGGCCTGCGTGTGGCTGGGGTGAGGAGAGCACACCTGCCCAGACGGGGGGCCAGGACACAGAACTGGAAGGCCCCCAGCACCCGGCCTTCCCCAAGAGGTCCACGCTCACCCTGTACTTCGTGAAGATGTTGTGCAACTTCATGGTGTCAGTGTTCACCTGAACCAAGATGTCCTCCCACTTCTTGGGCGCCAGCTTCTTGAGGTGGGTGGCCAGGGCCTGGATGTACTCCCCAAAGACCACCACGTGCAAACTTCGCATGATGTTCTGCTCCCCAAAACACAAGGAGACAGAGAGGCCTGAGTGGAAGCTGTCCCAGGACATGGTCTGACTGGCCCTCGGGGGTGGGGGTGACAGGCTGTTACACGGACTTCTCTGGCACAGGCCTGTCGGGGGCTTGTCTTGCCACCATGAGGCAGATTGAAGCCCTAACTGCCAGGTTTCGGGGGTTCCTGCCTCAGCTTCTGGTCAAGGCAGTCGCCCCCAAGTGGGCCTCCTACCTCATACATGAGAGTGGAGTACATTTTGGGACGGCCCTCCAGACTCTGCCACAAGGGCTCCAGAGCTCCAGCCAGATCCTTGTCCTTCCTCACGAAGTAACCCAGGAGCAGACTCTGCAGACAGGAAGGCCAGACGTCATGGAGGCCCCCCGAGCTGCCTGGTTTGGCTGTGCTCTCTGCCCCCTAGACTACTCTCCCCCAGCCTTGAGGGCCCCTCCCCTCCCCACCAGGTGCACACTTCTGGACCAGAAGGGCCCACACCGAGGGAGCCAGAGGCTTACCTGGCTATCTATCCCAAAGCTCTGTCCACCCTCCTCCTGCTGACTCCTAGGAGTACCCCAGATTCAAACTACGGCCCTTGACTTGAGCTCCTCCCTAGAGCCCTCCAGAGTCCTCCCGGGTCTCCCCCTCTCCCTGGGTCCCCACAGGACCGTTGCCTGGCTCCAGATCTCGATGATGCCTTCTCCCTCCGGATCAGACTCCCAAGACTCAGTTCTCAATGTACGCCAGAGGGGACAGGCAGAGGGGGCAAAGCCAGCTTACTCGGCATTTAACCAGGGGACCCAAGCAAGTCCCAGGCCCACTATACCCCAGTGTCCCATCTGCATGATGAGCCTCATCGGCATCATCTATAAAACAGGGTGCCAAGTTCGGTCCATGTGCTGTGGCTGCTGGGAGTTCTTTTTAGAGGACCCTGGGGCTCTAGATGGGCCAGAACAGAACAGAACAGAATGCTGGGACAGGGGTGAGGCAAGACAGTATGCCGGCCATCCTGGAGGAACCTCCCTGTGTCTTCCTAAGTGCTCAAATCTCTGTGGAAAATCCAATAGCAATTGTCTCCAGAGCTGGTCCCCACCGCGAAAAATGAATCACTGGATAGACCTGCAGGAATGGAGACCCACCCACCAGGACCTCCCATCTTCCACCCAGGAAGCTCCCAGGAGAACAGGGCCCTGAACCCCAGATTTGAAGGGAAAACTCTCTCCTGTGGCTTCCACATCCTAGGAGGCCACCTTGCCCACTCAAGACGACCTGGGGCCAAGCCAGCCCCTGGGTATCCTCAGGGACCTCATCCTCCAGTGTGACAGCCACAGTGCCAGAGGGGCAGGGATGGAGGCTCTAGGACACAGTGAAGGGACCTTGCCTGCCTGGGACGCAGCAGGCTCAAAGCCGGGATCTGGGGGAGGGGGAGCAGATGTCAGGCCTCTGCTGGTGGGGCAGGAGAGCTGTTTCACAGGTGGAGAAAGGAAGAGGGGATAAAGGGAGGTGCCCTCAGCGGGGAGGGAGCCAGAACAGGAGGGGCCAAGTCCAGCCGCTCCCACCCACCCTCGTCCCAGCTGGCCCTGCCTGCTGCTCCAAAGAACTCCGGCCTGAGGAAGGCAGAAGGCCTGACCAGGAACCTCGCCAACCAAGTCCGCCACTGGGGCCCTGCCGTGTCCCACCCCAGCAAAGGCTCTGCTGGGCTGGGCAGAAGTCCAGGGAGACACAGGCAGGCGCCTCCTGCCTCGGTTCTCTGGGAACAGAGAAGACCCCACACAGGGCTGGGGCACTGGGGGACGGCACCTTGCACAAGGCTCTGCCCTTAAACAGGAAGTGGTCCTGGCTGTGGCTCTCGATGACGTGGATGATGTCTTGCACGACAGCGTCCAGATGTGCCGGCAGAATGTGTGCCCAGCCCAGCAACTGCCACGTTTCCCTTTTGGGGCAACCAAAGTGATCCATAGGGGTGGCCCAGCGCCTTCCACAGCCCCAGGCTGCACACCAGCCACACCGGTGCCCCTCCGCGCCCGTCCGGCAGCCCTCATCTCTGCTGCTGTTGCTGTCTATCCCGTCCCACTGTTTACCAGTATTTACAGACTGTTGTATCCACGTGGTTTAAAATGCAAAAGGTACAGTGGAAAACTCGCCCAGAGGCGGCCAGTGCTACCGGTGTTTCCCTAGGAAATGGGGTCATACTGTACAACACATGGGTGTCCTCTCCCCTTGTCTCATGGGTGGTCAGTAGCCCAGCCCGCAGGCTCCTATTGGCCTCGCCCAGAACCTGGACCACACCAGGGGGCCGTGCCTCACACACCTTCTGGCCCCGCCCACGCCGCGCCGCGCCACCTCTGGCCCCGCCCACACCCCGCCTCACCGCCCTCTGGCCCCGCCCACACCGCGCCTCACCGCCCTCTGGCCCCGCCCACACCCCGCCTCACCGCCCTCTGGCCCCGCCCACACCACGCCTCACCGCCCTCTGGCCCCGCCCACGCCGCGCCGCGCCACCCTCTGGCCCCGCCCACACCGCGCCTCACCGCCCTCTGGCCCCGCCCACACCGCGCCGCACCACCCTCTGGCCCCCGCCCACACCACGCCTCACATCCTCTGGCCCCGCCCACGCCCGGCCGCACCCCACGCACCTGAGGATGCCGCAGTTTGCCAGCACGTGCACCTCGGGGAGGGGCCCAGCAGTGGCGTTCTGGTGGAGGAAGTGGGCGGCCTCGGCCTCGTACCTGCAGTGCGAGGGCGGAGATAGAGCCCCTCCCGCCAGCCCCGCCCCCAGGCCCGCCGGACCCAGCCAGGCCCCCAGGACCGGCTCCCCTCCCCACTTCGCTGCAGCTCTCTTCACAGAGTCACAAATGTGGGTGACAGTGACCGAGAGGTTGACACGGCAGAGTTTACTTGGGCCGGCTCTGTGTCAGGCCCTGCAGCCAGATGCTTCCTAACGACCTTTTCATTTACTGCGCTTCCTGATCATTTGTGGTAAATGCTTTCAGAACCGGATGGGAGTGGTTTTTTTCCTATGGTTAATGCAGTATTTGAGAGGCCCGCCCTCCCAGCCCGGCCGGCCCCCCTGGGAGAGTCGGAGTGAGGCCTAGAGGAAGGGGAGGCTGGCACCCCGAGCCTGGGCTGGGCCTCTGGAGAGGATCGGGGACAGCACGCTGCTTCCCAAAGGCAGGAGAGAAGGGGCGCCCTCACCTAAGTCCCAAGAACAAGGATCAAACTGGCTGCCCAACCACATTTTCTTTTCTTTTAAAGATTTTAGTTATTTATTAATGAGAGACACATAGAAAGAGAGAGAGAGAGGCAGAGACACAGGCAGAGGGAGAAGCAGGCTCCATGCAGGGAGCCTGATGTGGGACTCGATCCCAGGTCTCCAGGATCAGGCCCTGGGCCGAAGGCGGCGCTAAACTGCTGAGCCACCCAGGGATCCCCCAACCACATTTTCGTAAGTATTTAAAACCTGGCTGATTTCACCTAAAAATCCACATCTCTGGTCTCTGTTAAGTAACCTGCTTAGTGTTTGCCCTATTAAGGAGCCCATCCCAGGTGAACACAGCCACTCTGAAGGCCCCAGAGAAAAGAGCCTCGTGATGTGGTCTACACAGTGCTTCGTCCGAGACATGCTTGGGGCCTGAGGCACCCACAACACTGACCCTGAACCCAGCCCTAGCCAGTCAGAAAGAGGCAGGGTCCCCACCCAAATCCTAGACTGGGGCAGAGCTGGGTGTGTTCCATTCTGCTGTCCAGTAGGGGAGCCACAGCCCCGCTTGGTGTTTAAAGGTCAATTAATTAAAATTAAATAAAATTTAACTGTAGTCCCTCCATGGAACTAGCTCGACAGCCACACGAGGCTAGAGCCACCATGTCACATGCGACATTTCCAGAGGGAAGGTAGGAGGTGAAGCAGGCCAAACTGGGAGCACCCAAAGCCAATGCCAGAAGTTTCCCCTGCTTCAGGAACTGGCCAAACACCTGCTGGCCCATGGTTAGAAGCTTGGTTAGCACTCCAACTGGGGTTTGGTCGACCCAGTCACCCACGCCTCCTTCTCTGGGCAAGGACCACCTTTTCACTTACCTTTTCAGAAACTTTGAAAATGTTTCCAGAACCATGGATTGCACCTGGCTAGTGATAGGTAGTCCAATCGGTTGTACTGCATTAATCTTTTGTTCCAGCAGCTGTCAATCAAAATAAGAGGGCTCTTAGGGGGACCCAGGGACCAGTCACAAAGCCAGTGGACCCTAGGAGAATGTGTCCCCCCCCAACTTTGTCCCTGACACACCTGTCCTTGCAGGAAGGGCTGGAGTGCACAGGCCACCCCCCCACACCTCCCTGCCAGGCTGCCTGCTGCAGATGGCAAAGAGTAGACACCTCCCACCAGGCCCTCACTGCCCCTCCCAAGCCCACCTGTCTTGCCAGGCCTCTCTCCCTTGAACCCTCCACTGTATCCTGCCATCAGCCAGACTGAACAACTTCCTCATCTCCACACAGGCCTAGGCTTCTCCTGTGGGTCCTGGAAGCTGCCCCAGCCCCACCTGACACTGAACAGCGCTGCTTGGGATAAAGGCATTAAGGATGCTTAAGAGCACCTCCTCTTCTCCCTCTAACCCTGAGCGGTCAAGAGAAGAAACAGAAACCCCCTGCACCGGATCCCCTAAAAGAAGAGCGCCAGCCCCAACACACACCCACTGGTGGCCTCTCCACCCCCAATGGGCTGCTCAACCCTCTCCCCAAGGTGTCCCCAGACACGGGTCTCTCTCTATGCAAATCCTCCCTGAGGTTGGAAAGGGCTTCATGAGCAGAGACATTCCAGGAGGAGGCCTCTCCCCAGAAGAGATGCCCCCCAGCCCTGTGCTAGGACCTCATCTGCCTCTGCCCACCGCCCTCAGACACTGACACTTTGATGCCCGGAGCCCCAACCTCCAGTGTGCCACTCATCCTTGCTGCACATGAACCCCACCACCCATCAGCCGTCACCCCCCCCCACCCCAGTCCTTCCAGGGCCCCTCCCTTCCAAGCCGGGTGCTCAGGAAGGGCCAGGAACCCTGCATGGTGGGCTGGAAAAGTGCCGATGGGCATGTACCTGGAAGATTTCGATAAACGTCGGGCAGGAACCCTGGGCCCATGTTTTCCAATCACAGATCAGGACGTTTTCTAGTTGTTTCTCCAAGCTTTCCTGCCCAGAAAACAGTGAAAGCAATTTCTATCCCCATGCTCCTCTCTGGGGCACACCAGGCCCAGCTCGAACGGAAGACAGGAGCGAGGGTGAGAACCAGAGCCGGCAAGGGGGACCATTGACCAGCGGCCTGAAATCCCCCCACCCTGATGGTCCCATAACTGAGTCAAACTCCTCTTTCACGGCCTCCAGCCCTCCATCCATCATGGATGGCCTGTGAAGCACCTTCTAGATACACTGTCCTCCTCGATCCTGGCAGGGTGATTGCGCCCATGCCCCACACACTCATTCACCCATAGGCACCGAGCAGCTGCCACTCCTGGGCAACCAGAGCCCTTCCATGAGGGTACCCGAGAGGGGCTCCCAGAGACCCACAGCCCCGGGGAACACAGGGGCGGTGGACTGCTGGGGACCAGGCGGCTCCAGAGAGACCCGGGGCACTGAGGACCAACTCTTGGGCAAGAACCCAAGTGTGACCTCCCCACCCGACCACGGCGGTGATAAAGGCTGCCTCTGGCAGGTTCCCTGGGGAAGCTGTCCTCCTCATCTGGACTTGCACACGGCCAGTGCAGTACAGTCTCGGGGGGCTCACACTGGCTGCCCATGCTCCCACCCAAGTTTCACTCTTAGCCCAGGAGGCTTGCTGGGTCCTCGGCAGGCCTAGGCCTTCTTATCTGGAGAAGGGGATCGCCTAGAAGTGAATTCTCTCTGGCTCAGCACTCAGCACTTTCCCACTCCTACCCCGCCCCTGCCACACCCTGCCCTCCTCCTGGGTCTGGTCCAGAGAGGATCCCAACTCCACGTCCAGCTGATGCCAGCCCTCGCCTGGCACAGGTGCCCGGGGATGGAACGGCACCACTCCCACTTGGCCTCTTGACAGCACCACCGCAGTAAGGCGTGTTGTCACGTCCGTCCTGGCTGCGTGTCTGAATGGACCACTGGACACCACCGCGTGGCCCTTGACAGGTGCAGAGTGGGAGAGCAGGGAATAAGCCCTATCTTCCTTAATTCAGCCCAGACTGCAACACCACAGTTTCGGGGAGGACCATGAAGGAAAGAGGGCCTCAAACCCATGTGCTCCAAGGAACCCAAAAAAGGCTCAGCGTTTATATACCAGTTACTGGAAAAATCTCAGCTAAATCGATACGGATTCTTTACCTTACTGTCATAAAGCTTAGTTTCTCAGTCTGTTAGCTAAGAATGGCCGAGAGCCTCCCTGCATCCCCAAACATCTCTTCCACAAGTCCCTAGGACGCGCGACACATCTGTGCCAAGACCTGGGGTGCCCTTATAGGAAATCACGTTTCAACCCCAGTAGGAGACTGTGATGTCCCCTTGAGTCCTCACTGTGCGTGGATTAACCGCAGGCACCCACCTGAGGCCTGCTGGCCCTGCCCCGTAGCCCCCGGTGTGGAAGATGCCCGACTGCACTCACCAGTCAAGGCAGAGACCTGTGGCCTGGTGCTCTCCCTACAGGCCCACTAGGCAGGGTTCCTCCCACCGTAGAGCCTCGGCACACTCTCACTTCCCATGTGACAGTGCTCAGGGCACAGAATCAGCACACCACCCCTCAGCCCCCCACCCAAGACCCACCCTAGCCCATTCCCTTGCCTGCTGTTCCCCAGATGCAGGTCGGGGAGGCCTCTGGGTGAGGGATACTCCTGGATCCATTTACCTGGATTAGTCCCACCAGCTTCTTCTGCATTCGGGACATCCAGGGAACAAACGTCACGGGATCTAAGAGTTGCCTGACCGTGGGCTCCTGGGAGGTGGGAGGTGCACTCACAAGTGTCTTCCTGATGGGTCGGAAGGAGCCATGAGGGGCAAAGAGCTGAGCTGGGGCTAGGGTGTGGAGGTCAGCTCGGCGCTGAGGGCAGCGGACTCTAAGCTGGGTCCTGCCTCCTGCCAGCCTGTGCTGCCCTCTCCCCACCCCTGCACAGGGCCCAGTGACTGCAGAGGGCAGCTGGGCTGAGAAAGGGAGCCAGAGGCTCTATTGGTGTAGACAAGTTTCCATGTTCTCTCTCTCTCACACACACACACACACACACACACACGCACGCACACACAAAACATGCTAACACAACCACACATGCTATACAACAAACACGCCAACATACACACACACACATGTACGCACACGCTGTCCCCAGGACCAACTGCATCCTCCCTTCTCCAGCCACCAGTCCCACCCCAGTGGCCCCTCCAAAGGTTCTTTGTTGACCACAGTCCTACAGTCCTGGCCTGAGGGTCCTCACTCAGAGTGGTGGCCTCACCCAGCACTGCAAGGTCCCCCAGGAGGACTCACCCTGGCTCCTCAAACAACGTTATCTTGGCCCAGGAGTACAGCATGTGACAGCTTTCCCAGTTGGTGCCAAAGGAGTGCGTGAGCTCCCAGAGGCGGCTGAGGAGGACCTCCTGGAAGTGTGTCCTGTAGACCTTCCAGAGCTGGGGCCCCAACAGGCTGGCCCGCAGGGACCCCAGGCCCTGTGTCACAGCCTCTTCTAGCTTCTCCAGGTACAGGTCCACCTGGTCGCCGGGGCCCGGGGCAGGCACTCTGGCCTCCACATCACTTCTCAGCAGCTTCTCCAGCTGATTGCCCCAGGCGGCAACTCCGCCATCCTGGAGGTCACCATCCTGGAGGTCACCATCCTGGAGGTCACCATCCTGGAGGTCACCATCCTGGAAGTCACCATCCTCCCAGCTCTGGTGCTTCTCCTGTGTCCACTCTATGGTGCCCAGCACAGCCTGGATCTTTAGCTCCAGCTCTGGGCTGTACTCAGTGCCCTCCAGAGCCTGCTGGACCACCTGCCACATGCTCTGGGCCACAACCTGGTACAGGGATTTGCAGTCTTGCCCTTGCTTTACCAATGTCGGGATGCTCAGGTAGGCCTCCAGGAACCGCCCATCCTGGACCAACTCAGAGAAACCTGGAAGAAAGGAACCCAAAAAGATGGCTCTGCAGGGGCCTTGAAAGAAAAGAAGCACTCCCTTCACAGAGACGGAGGTCCAGCAGAGGTAGCTGAGAATGTTCTAGAAAGAGGTTCTCCAAAGAAATGCGCATCAGGACCACCCAGAGGGCTCACCCAAGCCCAGGCTGGAATGTGTGTTTCCAATGGGTTATGGAGTCCAGGAGATGCTAACAGTGCTGGTCCCGAAACCTCCTGCTATGCCCAGAGGGAGAGATTGGAAGGGAAGGATTCCGCTTTGGATCCCAGAGGAGCCTCTGCACGATACCCCAGCCTCTACCTGCAAGAGACAAGCTCTAATGACACTCAAAACCGAAAGGGGGGGGGCACCTGAGTGGCTCAGTTGGTTAAGTGTCTGCCTTCAGCTCAGGTCGTGATCCTGGAGTCCTGGGATCCAGTCTGCATCAGGCTCCCTGCTCAGTGGGGAGCCTGCTTCTCCCTCTCCTTCTGCCCCGCACCCTGTTTGTGCGCTCTCTCTCTCTCACAAATAAATAAAATCTTTAAAATAAAAATAAACTGAAAGAGGAATTGGTGGGCAGGGTTGTCCAGAGCAATTGAACACCTGGATGCCAATTCTTATGGACGTCTACTTGAAAGGGCATTTTTGAACTTTAGGTTCTCCCTGAAAATTTCAAAATAAGAGGGCATTTATACTTCAAACTGGGACTCAAAGTGCCTTTCTATTGTCAAGGGTGAATGCATGTTCTCCCCTTTCCTATTCCTCCTTCCTAACAGCTGGAATGCACATGTGGTGCCAGAAGCTGGGCAGCCATCTGGGGCCATGAGACAAGAACCCCATGTGGAGGATAGTGGAGGAGTACGATGGAGAGCTTCTGGGTCTCTGAGCACTGAGGAGCCCTGGACCACCTATCCAAATCTTCCATGAGAGAAGCAAATTTTATCTTGCTTAATCTTAAGCCACTACTTCCTTGGTCTCTCAGTGAAAGCAGCTGAACTTATAATAATACAGAGAATTGAAGATGAGTGCAGTATGGGATGGAAATTACTTTGAACCAGAGCAGGACAGCCTTCCATGGCACACAACTCTTTTTTTTTTTTTAAATCTTTTTCCCCATTTAATCCTTTTTTTAAATTTTTTTTTATTTATTAATGATAGTCACAGAGAGAGAGAGAGAGAGAGAGAGGCGCAGAGACACAGGCAGAGGGAGAAGCAGGCTCCATGCACCGGGAGCCCGACGTGGGATTCGATCCCGGGTCTCCAGGATCGCGCCCTGGGCCAAAGGCAGGCGCCAAACCGCTGCGCCACCCAGGGATCCCTCACGCAACTCCTTAGGGATGAGAATTCCCTACCTACTTCTCCTAGATAGCTCCTCGTGGATAGTAATTAATCAGATTAGACTTGAAACTCAGAACTGTGCCCCTGGAACCTAGATGGTTTTATCAGATGCAGGGCTTCTCGACATCATTGTCCTTCTGTCCAGAGCTGCACTGTCCAGCACACCAGCCCCGAGCCACACACGGCTACTGAGCACTTGAAATGCCAAAACTGAGCTGTGCTGTCAGTGTAAACCACACACCAGGTTGCAAAGACTTATCAGGGGGGACCAAAAAAAAAGAGGTAAAATGTCTTAATTCTAACATCAATTGAATGTTGAAACATGTTGAAATACTGTATCAGCTATATTGGGCTAAATAAAATATATCACTAAAATTAGTTTCATCTTTTTCTTTTTATATTTCTACTGTGACTCCTGAAAACTTTAAATTACTGAACGGCTCCCACTCTGTTTCTACTACCCTGGAGCACTCTCGCCCCTCCCCCTGTAACACGGAGCTCCTGTTTATCCTGCACAGACCTGGCTGTTTTCTGGCTATGATCCCCCTACCCCAAAACAGAAGAACTGCCCTTACAAAGCTGGGGTCTCCCGGGCTTCTTACAAAAACCGCTGTGTTGGTACTATTTGTGTAGCACAGACACTGGTGGGGATGGATACGGCAGGCAAAGGCAGACACGGGGTGTCCACTGTCACGTCATCCACACGCCCCAGCAGGCCCATCAGGCTATGCACAGCTTGGCTGCTCCAGGCCAACTGACCATCTCCCGGCATCCCAGACCAGCAACACATAGGGCCAGCAGAAAAAAAAAAGACCCTGAAATGACCCTGAAAAGTGACCATCCTGGCAAGGATGCCCCCATACCACCAGGCACAGGGTTAGTGAGGACGTAGGAGGCCCTCAAAGATCCCATCACCTGTGAATCAACTGCTAAATACTTGTTCCCTCTTCAGAACCATGCCAGTCACCATCCAGATGCCAGAGATAGAAAGGCAGTGGTGACACCTTGTCCCTCCGTGACCCCATGCTCCCATTGCAATTCTGCAACTTCCCACTGACCTCAGAAACTCTGAAGCGTTTTCTCTTCAGGAAAACACTCCCTAGATTACAAAGGTACCAGCTCCTCCCAGAAAACCAGCCCCGTCCCACAAGCCCACTAGGGACCAGAGCCTTAATAAACAGCCCAGGCCAGCCCTGCTGTTGCACTCAGGGTCACTTAGCAAGCTTTCCTGGGCACAGACACAGGCTGGGTCATGGAGACACAGACATGGCTTGGACACAGACACTCCACACACGGCTCCCTCCCCACCCCAGGCCTCTCTTCTCTCACTCTGGTAGCCCCAAAGCCTGGGCACAATCCAGCAACCAGCTCTGCTGGCCTGCATTTTTTTTTTTAAGATTTTATTTATTTGAGAGAGAGCACACAAGCAGGGAGAGGGGCAGAGGGGGAGGGAGCAGCAGGCTCCCCCAACTCTGACTCCGGGGCTCCATCCCAGGACCCTGGGATCATGACCTGAGCTGAAGGCAGATGCTTCACCGACTGAGCCACCCTACACCGGCGCCCCTGCCAGCCTGGATTTGAAACTTGACCTTCTCACTTGCTGTGGGTCCCTGGGCAAATGACTCTACCCTCCGAACCTTAGTTTCATCAGCTTTGAGATGAGCTTTGCGTAGGAGCCCACGGTGAGTCTCACAGATGTGATGACTCCTGGCTGGTTCACTCTGCTTTGGTACTTCTCTTGCTCCCTCAGACTGTGTGAGAGACCCCCTGGGCTCAGCAGCCCACCCCAGCCCTGTGACAGGCCTCTGCATGGCAGGTGGTGGTCAACAAGCCAGTCCCATTCACCCCATGTTGGACACTCCGGCCATGGGAAGGAGGCATCTCATCACTGTGCCCGGTCACCTCCAGGCACCCAGAGCGACATCCAGGAGGGTGGCAGACAGTAAATACCCAATGAAAGGATGAATACATAAGCAAAAAAAATGAAGAAACAGGACAAAGACTCCTATCAGATATAAAGGCAAGAACCAGGGGCGCCTGGGTGGCTCAGTCGGTGAAGCGTCTGCCTTCAACTCAGGTCATGATCTCGGGGTCCTACGACTGAGGACCACATGGGGGGCTCCATGCTCAGTGGGGAGTCTGCTTCTCTGCCCCTCCCGCAGCCCATAAATAAATAAATAAATCTTTAAAAATAAATATAAAAAAATAAATAAATATGGCAAGATCCATACCTTTGGAAGTTTCTGGTGGATGAGTGACCTTTTTGGGTCCTTTATTTCTGTGCAGTACTCTCAGAAACCCTGTAATCGTGCTCAGCTTCGAAGAATGGCCTTTGGGCTCTTGTCTCTGGGGCCCCTGAGCCTCACTGGGCAGGAATTGTTGGAGCTCGAAGCCTGCTTCTCTTCCTTCCAGCCTGGCTTTCTTCTTGCCCCAGTGGATCTTCATTTTGACACAGGCCATCTCCCTGCCTTTGTCCCTGACAGCAACCTGGCCCTACACACACACTCTGGCTCTGGCAGACTTGCAAATCATGGAATTTCCTTCTTTCTCCACCCAAGAAAAGAAACAAACAAATGAGAGGAAGCTTAAAAAAAAAAAAAAAAAAAAGGTGTGGGGGACGCGTGGGCGGCTCAGAGGTTGAGCATTTGCCTTCAGCTCAGGGCTCAGGGTGTGATCCTGGGATCCAGGATGGAGTCCCTGATCCAGCTCCCTGGTGGGAGCCTGCTCCACCCTCTGCCTATGTCTCTGCCTCTCTCTTTGTGTCTCTCATGAAGAAATAAATCTTAAAAAAAAAAAAGAGAGGAAGCTGATGACTGCGTCTAAAAATATGAATATTAACACTTCTCAATTTTTCCCCAAATTTCACAGACCAGGACTTCTGGTCTGAGCAAAGATGGAAGTGGCAATCTCATTGTTCAGTCCAGGAATGTTTCCCTGACACCTTTGGTCAACCTCAGGTTAGAGCCAAGGCCGTAAAGTTAGGCACACCATGCGAACGAAGCCTGTGGTCACAGTGGACCACCATCACCACGACCACCACACTCCCACCCACCATTGATTACTGTCAAAAAGTGAGAATACACTCCTGTTCAGGTTTTTTTAAAAATCTATCATTGGGGATCCCTGGGTGGCTCAGCGGTTTGGCACCTGCCTTCGGCCCAGGACGTGATCCTAGAGACCTGGGATCGAGTCCCACATTGGGCTCCCTGCATGGAGCCTGCTTCTCCCTCTGCCTGTGTCTCTGCCTCTCTGTGTGTGTGTGTCTCTCATGAATAAATAAATAAAATCTTTTAAAAAATAAAATAAAAATAATAAAAATTAAAAATCTATCATTAGGGGCGCCTCTTTGTTGGTTGAACGTCTGACTCTTGATTTTGACTCAGGTCATGATCTCAGGGCTGTGAGATCCAGCCATGTTGGGCTGCTTAAGGGTCTCTCTCTCCCTCTGCCTCTGCCCCTCCATGCCCCACCTCTCAACCTCTCTCCCTTAAAAAAATCAGTCCTTAAAAAAAAAAAATCAGTCCTTAAAGAAGAGATTACTCATGGTTGTGATTTCTTTCTTTTTTTTTTTAATAGTCCTTAAAAATAGGGATCCCTGGGTGGCGCAGCGGTTTGGCGCCTGCCTTTGGCCCAGGGCGCAATCCTGGAGACCCAGGATCAAATCCCACATCGGGCTCCCGGTGCATGGAGCCTGCTTCTCCCTCTGCCTATGTCTCTGCCCACCCCCCCGTGTGTAACTATCATAAATAAATAAAAATTTAAAAAAAAATTCCCTATTAAAAAAAAAATAGTTCTTAAAAATATGGAACACTTTGGGGCACCTGGTGGCTCAGTCAGCTGGATATCTGACTTCGGCTCAGGTCATGATCCCGAGGTCCTGGGATCGAGCCCCGCCATCAGGCTCCCTGCTTAGCATGGAGTTGCTCCCCCCTCTGCCCCCACCCCCTGCTTGCGCTCTCTCCCTCTCTCAAATAAATAAATCTCTTTTTTTTTTTAATGTGCAACGCTTCACATATTGGTGTGGCATCCTCATGCAGGGGCCGTGCTAATCTCCTCTGCATCATTCCACTTTTAGTGCACATGCTGCTGAAGTGAGAACTGGTTTATTATTCTTATTATGGCGAAGCATACACAACATCAAATTTACCATTCTAATCACTCGTCAGTGTGCAGTTCAGTGGTACTGAGTCAAACCCATTAAGTAAGTTGTGCAGTCGTCATCGCCGTCCATCTCCAGAACTTTTTTGTCATTCCAAACTAAAACCCTCATTCCCCCTGCCCCAGCCCCCAGCACCAACCATCCTGCTTTCTGTCCCCTGATGCTTACCGCTCTAGGGACCTTACGTATGCAGAATCACGAGATATTTGTCCTTTTGCGACTAGCACGATATCCTCAAGTTTCAACCACGTTGTAGCAGACTTTCCTTCCTTTTTAAGGCTGAGTAATACTCGGCGTGGATAGACTATTCATCTGTCAGTGGACACTTGGGTTGCTTCCACCTTTTGGCTCCTGCGAATAATGCTGCTCTGGCCACAACTGGGCAAACGTCTGTTCAGGCCCCTGCTTCAGTTCTTAGCTGTGGTTTCTGTCTCACTGACAAAGGCACCATCACTGCTGTGGCTTTTGCTTTTGTTTTTAAAGATGTTATTTATTCGTGAAAGACACAGAGAGAGGCAGAGACACAGGCAGAGGAAGAAGCAGGCTCCGTGCAGGGAGCCCGATGCGGGACTCGATCCCAGGACACCAGGATCACGCCCTGAGCTGAAGGCAGATGCTCAACCACTAAGCCCCCCAGGAGCCCTACTCTGTGGTTTTTGAAAGCCTCTCTCTCCTTGGAAGCGCTCACTGCCCAGGCCAGTGGTTGGGATCCTTGAGCGGCTGCAGCTCCCTTCCCAAAAGGTCATGCTGGATAGTGCAACCAGTGGCATTGCCCAAACCCTGGAGCAGCTTCAGTGCGATGTGGTGTGAGGTCGGGGTCCAGTGCCATCTTTCTCCCTACGGAGAACCCGCTTGCCAGCTGTAGTCAGCAAACGGTGCCCCCTCTGCTCTGACCTGACGGGCTGCCTCTGCCTTACACTTCTAACATGGAAACGTGGATCTACCTTGACCCAGGTGGCAGTTCTTAGCCACTAGCTAAGGGGCCAAGGGGACTCACCCAGGGCCTCCCACCTGGACCCCACGTAGCCCGTAGGAGTGTCCTGTCACTTCTGTAACAAATTACCACACACGTAAAGGCCTAAAGCCTGTAGGTTCTGTGTCCTACTGTTTTGGAGGCCAGAGGTCTGGCCTGGGCCTCTCTGGGCTGTGTTCCTTCCTCCCAACAGCTCTAGGAGGGAATCCATTCCATTTTCCCACCCTCCAGATGTCGCCTGCACTCCCTGGCTCACAGGCCTTTCCTCTGGTCTGGAGACCCAGCAACTGCCAGCTCACATCTGCACTCAGCTCTGCCTCACTCTCCCCCTGCTAAGGACCCTGTAGCAACAGGTCCCCGGGCCACCCAGGCTGGGCTCCTCTGTAAGGTGGGTAGACCAGCAACCTCATCGTTGCCTGCATCCTTAGCTCCCCTTCTCCGTGGGACCAGACACCACCTCACAGTTATCTTTGGGGGTGCTATCCTGTCTGCTGCACACCCCCTTAGCTACGGCCTCCTCTCTCTCTCTCCTTGGCTTCACAGCATGACTTGCAGAAGCATCCTATATCTCCACACTCTCGTGGCCAAGGGCAGGCCACCAAAGTGGCGTGTTTATTATTTTAAATTACAGCTACTTGGGGGACCCCTGGGTGGCATGATGCCAGGATCTGGGATCGAGTCCTGCATCGGGCTTCCTGCGAGGAGCCTGCTTCTCCCTCTGCCTCTCTGTGTCTTTCATGAATAAATAAATAAATCTTAAAAAAAAAAAAAGCTACTTGGGAAGCCATGGTTCAAGTTCCCTCAGACCCTCCTCTGGCCCCGAGAGCAGAAAGTAAGTCTCCCACGGGAAAGTACCCTGTCAAAAGTAAGAAGACCTCTCATCACCAGAGATAGGAAATTCAGAGCCAAGACAGCTGTACACACAGTAGTGTTACTTTTTGCTCATCTCCTATCTCGGTCCCCATTCTGCTCAGAATTCCCTACGAGGCAAAGCTTCCAAACACCTGTTTTCTTTATTCTGCAAATTCCCCCACAAATTTAGTGCCTCTTTGCCTAAAAAGTATAGAAACTTCCCATCTTGGTCACTTAGGTCTCCGTTTTATTATCAGGCTTCCGTGCACACAGAACAAAACTTTGGGCTATTTTCTCCTGTGGATCTGTCTTGTGTTATTTAATTATCTGTCCCGCTGCAAACCTTGAGGGTAGAGAAGGGTTTTTTCTTCCCCTACAACACTCATCCCTCCAAATCCCCACCCCTACCCAGCTGGGTGAATCCCATCTTTCTTCGAACCAGGCTCCTCAGCACAATCTCACAGGCCTTGTCGTGAGGGAGGGACTCCATTCAGCATTCTAGAACAGTGTCTCGTTTCCGAGGACTACTTTGGCTTATTTGCCATTCCCTGTGTTCATTACTTCTTGCTCACAGAGACAGAAACACACACATAGCCACACTTTACTAAGGGGCACACAGTTTACGGACACACCAAGTTCTCGGGGATTTGGGCACTGCCATAAACGCACAATACAATATCCTCCCCATGTGCTGCAAAATGGGGCTCCTGTCCCGAGCTGGGTGTTTTTCATGGGGCACCTCCTTCACTCCTTGACAGCCCTATGAGGCAGGCCCTAAGTGAGATGCATGGGACAAGGAGACGCCCTGAGGCCTGGAGGTAGAAGGTACTGGAACCGGGATACGTGCCCCATAGGGAGCCTCCATAGCCGCTCCTCCTAGAAATGCTGTTGAGGAGGGGAAGGCTCCCAGGGTATCCCTGTTTTCCTGACTCAAAGGCTTTGGGGCTATGAATGTATCCAAAATCTGGACCCAGAAAGATGTTCCACGTCTGGACTGATGTGCTTCCCCTGGTCACATACCTAGATGAGAGTACTCACAACATGTTCAGACGTAAGGGACCAACCTTGGGCGGTCACAGCTAAGTAGCCGCGGGACATGTGTCCAGCAGGATGGCTTGTGAATGCTGGCACCCCGCACACAGTTCTCTAGGAGTCCGAGATGAGCTTTGGAACAGGGCTGTCTCTAATGGGCATGGGCGGCAAGACTTTGGTGCCCTGCCTGGGTCTGGAAGCTTGGGCATGAGGCACACCTCAATTCTGGGGTGCCCCTCACCCCACTCATCTGCAGCACAAAACAAGCAACCCCAGAAGCTGCAGAGCTTCGTGAGTCTCAGGTCCAAGTGAAGGCGGTGGGCCAAGAACAAACCAATCCCCTCAGTCGAGCTTGGGGCCAACAAGAGGAGCCACCGTCTCTATCACTAGATGCCTTGCACCGTGAACTCATGAACTCCAGGCTGACCAGCTTCTAGGAGTGAGAAGGTGGAACCTGCAGCCTGGAGAGAAACAGCCCCGGGGATTTCCAGGGGAGGGACGGGTTTTACTTTCAGTTTTGTTAACTCTTACTGGTTTTCTGCAGTTTCTCGGAAACCACCAGGAAATTCTCATTTATTTTGCTCAAAACACAAATTGGATGGGCTCACATGACACAAAAAATACCCTCAAGCTTTGCAGCGGGACAGATAATTAAATAACACAAGACAGATCCACAGGAGAAAATAGCCCAAAGTTTTGTTCTGTGTGCACGGAAGCCTGATAATAAAACGGAGACCTAAGTGACCAAGATGGGAAGTTTCTATACTTTTTAGGCAAAGAGGCACTAAATTTGTGGGGGAATTTGCAGAATAAAGAAAACAGGTGTTTGGAAGCTTTGCCTCGTAGGGAATTCTGAGCAGAATGGGGACCGAGATAGGAGATGAGCAAAAAGTAGCACAGGCAGAGGGAGCAGCAGGCTCCCTTCTCGATCCCAGGACCTTAGATGACTCCCTGAGCCAAGGGCAGATGCTCAACCGCTGAACCCCCCAGGTGCCCGGTCCTCATTCCCTTCTATGGTTGCATCCTGCATCCCCTGTGAGGACAGACCACGGTCTACTCAACCATTCCCTTCCGTTGGAAAATAAATAGAATTTTCTCTCAAGTCCACTTTAAGATAAGCCCAGTGGAATCCCAGACACACGTTTTAACATTTACCAGTTACTGATTATATAGCTGAAATAAAGACTTTTAGCAAGCAGCAAATTCTACACTGGCTCCCTGACCCACGGAATAAAGGTGTTCTGGATAGGAAAGAGCTAAGTAGAGGCCAATCAAAAATAAAACAAGTGCTCAGGGGAATCCTAGAGATGAGGATGCCATCAAAGACAGAAACACACTCGCATCTAACTCGGGACAGAGATAACCCTGCCGTCCAGCCCCAGCCCTGCCAGTGCCACCCCTTGATGCTAAACCCTCCCTCCCAAAGCATATGAAATGTGCTTGCTCGCTTCCGTTCCGCCACTGCCCCACCCAAGCGTCCCCACCGCAGACCCGAGACAGCAAGGGTGTCCTGCAGGATCTCGGGGCTCCCCTTCCAGGGCTGATCTTGGTGTTCAAATGCAGATCTGGTCAACTCACCCCTACCCAGCCAGTTTCCTGTTGCCCAAGGACTCAGTCACCATTATGAGGGGACCTTGAAGTCCCAAATAACTTTGGCCCATCCCACCTCCCCACCTACCAGTGCCCTCGCGGCCTGCTCCTGCCCTCTTGCCCACCCGCTCCCCTCACTCTCCTGCTCCTCCTGCAGGAGGCCTGCCAGCCCCACGACAAGAGCTAAACAGCCTGATGTAGGCCCCATGGCCCCGACCTTGTCTACCTCCTGACCTCTACTGCATCACCATGCAGCAGCAGCGCACTTCTGGAAAGCTGGTCAGCAGCGTGAGCTCGGGCCTCGGTTCACCACGGCATCCTGGTGCCAGGCAGGGCCTGGTGCACCCAAGGTTTGGTCAAGAGTCACTGAATGAGGGATCCCTGGGTGGCGCAACGGTTTGGCGCCTGCCTTCGGCCCAGGGCACGATCCTGGAGACCCGGGATCGAATCCCACGTCGGGCTCCCGGTGCATGGAGCCTGCTTCTCCCTCTGC